CTGATGAGATGATCAGGTTATGCTCCACCAATCTGGAAAAAAAAAACAAGAAACCTGTAATAGTGCTGAAAGTTGCTTTGAATGAAAGTTAAAAAAATAATGCGTTAGAGCTGCCTTTAATTGTGCCATTTAAACATTAGTTGAGTTTGTGGGTGTCTTTGTTTATCCGCCTGTCTGTGTTCAGGACAACTTAAAAGTTATGAATGGATTTTGATTAATTTTTTTACCAAAGGTTCACCTCAGTTAATAGAACAGACCATAACATTTTGGTGATGATCCACATCATAACCTGGATGCAGGAATGTTTTAAATGATTTTTTAACATCATATGGCGGAACATGCATGAAGAAAAAAATGCAAGAAAGGTGAGCCATGCCTTGCTAGAAGTCTCGATCTGCTAATCAAACAAGAAACCAGAGGGAAAGAAGGAGGTGAGAGCAGAACAAACACCAGAGGCTGCAGAACACATTGGGCCTTATTTCTACTCTTATGAAAGGATTTTAAGGGAATTTTTACCAAAGGTCCACATCAGTTAATAGAACAGTCCATAACATTTTGGTGATGATCCACATCATAACCTGGATGCAGGAATTTTTTTAAGGATTTTTTAACATCATATGGAAAACATGCAGTTTTCCCCCTAAAACAGTGAGCGGCCGCAGAGAATATTGACAGCTTCAGCATTGGACTCAATGTAGTCCAGAATCATATCATACTGAAGAAAAAAATGCAAGAAAGGTGAGCCATACCTCGCTAGAAGTCTCAATCTGCTAATCAAACAAGAAACCAGAGGGAAAGAAGGAGGTGAGAGCAGAACACAAACCAAAGGCTGCAGACACACGTTGGGCCTTATTTCTACTGTTATGAAAGGATTTTAAGAAAATTTTTACCAAAGGTGCACCTCATGCCAATGAGCAATTCATAAACATTTGGTAATGATCCAGATGATGTGCAAGTTTTAGCTATAGTTGTAAGTCAGCCTGCTTGGCAGAGGTCTGCTTTCTCCGAGTGTTTTTCTTGTTTTACTTATTGTAATATTCATTTATTTATAATAAATTAATCACAAATTCATTTTCAATAATTGTTTTCATACTTTTAATGCTCCGTTTGTTTTCTTACTACACCACTGCAATGTACTTTTCTTTCTCTCTGTCTTTTCCAATTGTTATTATTTGATGTAGCTTGAAATGTCTTGCTGCTGAAATGTACTATATGTATAAACTTGGACATTGTACAGAGGATGTGAAAAAAACAGCTTCTATCCACAAATATTTACAACTTTAGTTTAAACTTAGGCTGATAACAAAGATAACATATCGCATATAAATGCGTGATGAATATGCTTACTGTCAGTGCAGGTCAGAACAAGAGCAGTTTTTCCATCTTCCACTGTGTTGAAACACAGACACCGATAAAGATCCTCCAAGTTTTAACATTTGAACATCAACCTAACATAAAGCTTAATGCTGCTATGTTTCCACATAAATGAACAGGAACTGAATGTAATACTTTGCATTTATTATGGATTTTTTATGATTATCACAAGGTCAAAATATATCACCATACTTAAATATGTACATAAATTTACCTAAATATTTTCTTAAGGGCTGCTGGAGATTTTATAACGTTAAAATGCCATATATTCATTAATTCTTGTTGGTAGTAATGCCTTGTTACAGTGGTTAAAATAACTTTGTTAGCAAAATGAAAGGACTTAAGGCTGGTTTATACTTAAAAATCAGGTTGTCTGCATGTGTGTCGCAGTTAACGCTGATATGCCCCGCCCCCTACGCAGACACTCTGCTGCACTTGTCCAAAACTGTAGGTGACCGCAGACAGTGCCGCAAACAGGAGGCCTCTGATTGGTCAAATCTACATCCGCTCTACACTATCCATATTTCCTGATTGTTTCCTTAAACCGGGCATACACTGTGTGATTTTTTCAATGGTTGCACGCAGCTGCTGCTCACACTTTACAACCAAACCCTGCGGTTTCAGTGTGAGTTCAAAGCTCACAATGTACGTGCAGCACGAAGCTCTCATGCGATCTACCTGCTCACACTGTACGACTAAAAAGCATGTCAGACTCAGCTCTGCACTGAGATGGAGCTGCTCTGACTCGTCTATCTGGAAGCCAAAAAAATAGAAGAGGAATATGAAGCTCACTAGAGTGAAATACGCTGCCTTGGCAATTTGTACAATTTTGTGCTGAAAGCCCTAAAAAGAAAAGACGACGACGTATTTGGAAAAAAGACATGGCTGAGCAAACGTGGCTACTATGGTCTGTCAGTTTTACAGACAGAACTGCATTTCACTCATTGCATCCCTGTCATGCTAATGTGTTTACAGAAGAATCCTTGTTTACACATGTGCACTGAGCCGTTTGCCCAAGACGGCCGACATGTTTAATTCTCTCCCGACTTCACGATTCCTGAAAGTCGGGCCGATCAAACGATTCTCGCACGACTGGAAAATCGCCCCGAAAAATCGCACAGTGTACGCCTGGCTTTACCGGCCTGTTTTGTGTGTATAACCACCATTGTGGAAAACGACTTGTGAAGATGGACCAGCTAGAAGAGCGAGGTGCGCAAGAATGCTGGGACCCTTTTTCTACCTGGATCTCCGCTCTTTTTCGTCCTCACTTCCCTCCGTTGTCGTACAAACTTGCCCCCACTTCCTCACCGCCTCGGCCGTCTCTAGACCCACAGCTAGTTCCTGATTGGCCCTCTTGCGTTGTGGCGTGGAATAACATAGCACAGACCACCCTTCAATATTGGGCATAAATCAAAGAAATATCTGCGACAAGCTCACTGTGACACACTGCTGCAGGAGGATAACCAGCCCTTTACTCATTAGAGCAGGGGTGTCAAACTGGTTCCAGAAAGGGCCGTGTGGCTGCAGGTTTCCTTTCCAACCAAGCAATAGCACACCAGACTCCATTCATCTCATCAAGTGAGTCCAATCTTAACATGATGACTTGATGAGATGAATGGAGTCTGGTGTGCTGTTGCTTGGTTGGAAAGTAAACCTGCAGCCACACGGCCCTTTCTGGAACCAGTTTGACACCTGTGCATTAGAGTGTCAATAAGACAGCCAAACAAAGTCTAGGAACTCAAGAGTAAATGTGTAGGTTAATGCTGTATTGAGATCGGATGCAAATGAGTCAAATGATTTGCATGTTATCCCTGTAAAGAGGCAGGTTCTGGAGTGAAGCAATGTGAGAGATACATTTTCAACGATGTGAGCACTCGATTAGGGCGAAGCGAGAGCGAAGTGTAACCTGCGATGGGCACAAAGCAAATTTGACTGGAGTTCAAAAGTTTGAATATTCCATCAATTCGTGTCGTGACAACCAATCAGGGACTTGATGTATCGATGATGCAGTGAAACGAAAAAACAGCGAATGAGGATAAATATTTGCTGGAATCGGTCTAAACACAAGAAAACACTTCCTGGGGAATAATCATGAAGCTTTCCTAAAATATTCTTGTACTGTCTATTTATGAATGTTTACGTTAGTAGCTCACTCTGGTTGCATACAAAGACCCTCCAGTTACAGTTCCATGTTGGTTTATCACATATTACTACTTAGTTTTATACTCACTGTTTTTGGTCCATTTGTTAGCAAATTTAAAAGTTTTCAGCATTTGCTGTAATAAGACCATGTGACTGGAGGTACAATAATTGGATACATTACATTAGCAAACAAGGAAGTGATGGAGCAACGCAACGTCCAGAGAGAGAAAAAGTCCAAGATCAAGTCTGAAAAGGTGCAAAGAAATATATGAATGCAACCAGGGATTAGACACCATTAGTGCTCAGAGTACTTTTCGTGATGGTGTACAACGGTGTTTATGTGTGCTAAAAAGTTCTGGTGCAAAAAATATCTTCAGGCTCAACAAGGTCTAAGTAAATACCAACGGGATGATTGTTTGGTGTATATTGGGTTATTTGAAAATGAACATATGTTGTTTTTTTTTCTTGTCATGGGGTGTGACTAGGTCTCTTTGATCAGTGGATTTCAGAATCAGTATACATAAGTGAAGATTGTTTCACAAAAAGGGTCGGGTCATTCGGAAAACCACCTTAAAGATACGTCCCAGATGAAAAGAAACTTATTAGGACAGTTGAACACAATGCAGGATCAACAAGGTTTAAGATTACCATAGACAGGAAATCGTTGAACACAAGAATCATTGCTCATAGTAAGGCCAGATCATACTACGTCCTTTATAAACACCTTCAAGCTCAGCTTAAGTATAAATTTTTTCACATGGAAAAATGCAATCAGAGAACAAACTTTACGGTTGGAAGAGACAAAGATTTAGCTGTTTGGCTACAATGATAACAAATCTATTTGGTGGAGTCAAGACTGGGCTGTCTGAAGTAACTCCAACTGTTAGAGAGGGTGGTGGTGGCATCATGCTGAAGGACTGTTCCAGTTCTAGTGGTGCTGTTGCCATAGGATGGACTTATGAATGAGGACTACGTCTGATTTATTTAAGTCCACATTAACTTACTTCCTGGAGAGAAAGAATCTTAGACAGAGTGACTCAAAAACCCATTGAAACTGTTTTTTTAGAGGAAAACACCCAAAGCTCCGGTTAAAACCTAATAGAAAAGGTCCACATTTGTGTGACCACTTTTGCTATAATCCACTGCTGCTGTAACACCACAATTTCTCCATTGTGGGACGATAAAGGGATTTTCTATTCAATTCTATTCTCAAAACATTTAGATTATGTTTCAAAAGTGAGTCCTAGCAAGGAAAAACCCCAAATCAAATGACTAAAAATTTGTAAAAAATTGTAACCTGTAATAACTCCATAAACCTGTCCATTAAATGTCTGCAACTGTATGTTTATAATCATTCTACCTTGGTAAAATAATTATTTTAATTAATATCCAATAACACAAATTAATTAAACATTCATAAGTGCCTTAAACTAACCTGGCAAAAAAAAAATGTAATTCATGTTAGAACATGTAGATGTAGTCACCTCTGCTCCAGAATACTTATTGGTCCGAGTCACCAGCTCATCGAGGGAAACGTTCTCTGCTACAGGCATGTTACGGAACTGCAGGGAGAAAATCTCCCGTCTGGTCGCAGCATCAGGTAGGGGAACAAAGACGATCCGGTCAAGGCGACCTGGTCGCATCAGAGCCTGACAGAAACAAAAAAGAAAAACAGAGGTCATCATTCTTTATCTTTTTAGATTTCCATGAGAGCATTCTTCACTGCTTAACTTTTCCTGCTTACTTTTTATGCTTAAAAACTGTCAGGATCCAACAGCTTAGACAATGGACCACATTAGTGCTTTCCACTTATGGCTAAAAGATAAAAATTGCAGCTTTGGTCCGTCAAAAATAACAGGGCCATTTGGTTAAAAAAAATAGTAATTTTCTTGTGAGAGAAGTATACCCAACAACATTATGTGTTTTCTCTTACAGAGGGTCACCAAGTAAAATAATTACACTATCTATTAAGGGCAAAGCAGGGATATGACGGCAATAAAAGATTGCAATAAAAATGTCACGTTCACGTGTCAATAGAAATGGAAAAAAGCATTTTTTGTTTTGGTGGATTGTTCATGTGACCACAGGGATTCATACTAGGATCAAAAGTCTGAAAAAAACCTCTCAAACCTCAGTTCTTAGCAGGAGACAATGTTGACGTTATCTGATAAAGCCTTCACTTCCTACAGATCACATCTTGGTGACCCCAAAACAGTGCTTGAGCACCCGAAGCCGTCGCTGTCTTGCTTGTCAGACGTCATTAGGTGGCAGGCGCCTTCTCAAGCCCAGACAGACAAATATGGCCCGTCTACTCTCTCTGTCCTCAGCCTGGCAGTGACAAGCTGTGATGAGGAATGCATTCTGACAAGCAGGCTTACTGCAGGATGTTTTTGTTAGTTTTTTTTTTTTTTTTTTTGCTTATGAACGGAGCACAACTGGATGTTCAATGCTTTTGATAGGTAAAAGAAAAGCAATCATCAGGTAGTGAGACTAGGGGGATCCGGGGCCCTGGATCTGGGCCAGAGGGGCCACATTGGGGCCAAATCATGGCCAACAGAGACGAGGCAGGAGATACACGCAGACGCAAGCCAGGCAGGAGGTCACGTCAGAAGTGATCAGTGTCGGCTGGAGGAACTGGAATGGCAGCCTTTGAGCTCCTGCTCGTACATCATGCTGCTGTTATTGCTACTTTACAAGTCTACCAGGTCTTCTATCAGTCCAACATGGAGTGAAAAAGTTCAAAGATTTTATCTTTTTTAATTTATTGTTACTAGATCAAAAACCTTAATGATAATTTTTTTTTAAATTCAAATTTCTTAATATCTGAGAAACATTCAAACTTAATAAAGTATCTGGACTATTAGGAAGGAACAACAGATGCCTCAATGCATTTCAGCTATTGCGTGTCCCACTTCCACTCTGGTTTTCCTTCATCCTTTAGACACAACACTACAAAGTTTTGCTATTTAATCAGCAACAAATAGCTAATTTGAGTGAATTATTATTTAGATACTTATTTTTGAAGAATAATTTAGTATTTCTGAAACTTCTTTCGTGAACAAAAAAATGCATACAGGTGACCAGAGGTGGGTATAGTACATAGTAGTATATAGAAGGTGAGTAGAGCTACTTCGTTTTTTCTACTCAAGCAAAAGTAGAAAGTAGAAATCAAAAAAATACTCAACTAAGAGTAAAAAAGTACTTGGTAAAATCCCTGCTGAGTAACTGTTGCCTCACAACATCTGATTCAATATTTAAAGTTTTGTAATCAGACAGACAGTTAACCCTTTAAAGCCCGATCCAAGAATAAAACAAAACAGAAAATTACTCTTTTTTGGTTTGAAGTCCTTGTTTGGCCTTTTAACAGAATATGTAAAAAGAAAAAACACAAATACATTTTTGATATTAATAATTTATTACTATGCGATTAGTCAAGATTATTTTTTGTGTAGTCTTCTGCCCTCTGTTATCAGGTATATCTGATTGTGTACAATAGGATTTTGAGCAAAGTTTTTACCATTAAATTATGCAAAAGGTGTCAGACGCAAAACATTTTATAAACCGTATGTATCAAAGATGATACATTTGGCATTACAGGGTTAAGTGAAAAAAGAAAAACTTTTAGCAGAAGAAAATTTTTTCCAACTAAGACAACAATCTTTAATTTCCCTTCGAGATCAATAAAAAGTATTTTAAAATTTTAAATTACAATAAGCATTCATGTCGGGAAGGGATAAAGAAATTCCTCCAACAATACATTCTGTGTATGGCTCCTGAAATAGCTTAAGTTATTTTTGATAGGTAGTGTAACCAGAAAAATATTACTCTGCTGTAGCAATACAGCAGCACAAGAATATTACTCAAGACTATAAACTATTGTAAAGTACTCTTCTTTCTAAAAGTTATTTAAATAAATGTAACTAGTTTGCTGGTGACCCAGGTGCTAAATACCTAAGCTCATGCTATGTCATGCTCCTCATAGGCAGTCATTGCAATAAGCAAACTGGGGCTGCAGTTATTATTTTAGCATTTGACAATGCGGCACTACTGCAATTATTCGTGCAATAATTAATGTATAATCACTATTTAATGCCCTGTGCAATAACCTGTGCAATAATCCTGGTAAATAAGAGACTTCAGCTGTTTATATGGATATGTGAATGCATTGTTTATACTGTATATACCCCATGCACCTTTTCCTCCTTTTTGCACCTTCTTTTGACTATTGAGTTGATGTGACAGATGAATTTCCTCTATGAAATCAATAAAGTCTATCTTACATTATTAATCATTTTCTCTATGAATCTAAAGGTAAAGGTAAAGTTACATTTATAGCGCGTTTTAAATTGCAAACAAAAAATAAAAATGCATCAGTTTAAAAACAGATCATGTATTTTTTTTGGTTCCCACATGCAGTATTTCCAGCGGGCAGTGCTAACGGACAGCTTTCCTGCCTTTTATCTCCCGGTTTTCCTGTGTGTCTCTGGATCATGAGGCGACGGAAACTGTAGCTAGGCTCTGGTAACCACAACAGGGCCACGGCTGACAAGGCAGAGATGGATCGTGAGTGGAAATTCTCTGCTTTTTCATGCCTATGGATTAATACGGTGATTTATTTATGAGAAGCTGGGGAACTTTTCCTTATCAAATAACAGCAGCAATACTTATATGAAAATGAGTGAAAGATAAGATACGGTTTAAAATGACAATAATTTTGGATACTTCTGCAGGTAAAGTTATAACGGCAACTGTGAGGGGAGGGGAGGGGGGATTTGGGTGCAATGGGGACTTCAGCCTGTTCCTGTTTGTCACAGCAGGTTGAGCCGGTAGCAGTGAAGCGTGCTGCATTATGCGCAGGACGTGCCAGGGACACTTCCTGAGTTGCCCTCTCTGGAAGTATCTGGCGGCTTCATGCCAACACAAACCTGCTGACCTCCAGCAAAAACAGCTCACACAGAAAGCAGCTCCCAAGCATTGACAAACAAGCGCACCCACACGTACACGCAAACAGACAGGAATCAGTTCTTTCTTATTTTCTGGTTTGAATGTGAAACCTGCTGCTTTATGAGCCATTATTTCCCTCCTAACACGAAGAAGGCGAGCCTGCTGCTTTCCGGCGCTTCCAGAAAGCAGAGCCGAACCCTCAGCTTTGAGACTGCTAAACTCATCTGACTGCCCTGCAGGAGAAAGAAAGGCCTCCCCCCCCTTTCCTCTCAGCAAGAGCACAGGGCCAATCCATCACTTAACAACATACACTTCCTGCTCTCAAGGATCCGGGGGTAGCTGTGGTGGTGTGGGGTAATAGGAGGAGGAGGTAATGGGGGGACCCTGAAAGACAAATACTTGGCATGTTGGCCAAGCGTTGATGGGCTTTTCTTTTTTTCCCACCTTAGCGGCATCCTTCCACCTGAAGTTTTAACTATGTTCGGAGGGAAAAAGGGGGAAGAGAAAAAAATTCACAAAAAAAAAAAAAAAACAGCTGAAGGAGTTAAGAGAGCCAGAGGACCAAGACCCTGCAAACACAGATAAGTAGTGGGAGATGAAGCAAATCCCCAGATAAATCCAGGTTCAACAAATTCTCCATTGTTTTAACATGCGTCTGCATGAAGGATTGCATCCACCTCATTGCACCACTGAACATGATAGGCACCATTACACACGAGCCATTAGTAATTAGAAATGCCCCTAGGTAAGACATACCAACTGGCTTTAAGTCAGCTCTCAGGTTCATCACAGAGCCTTGGCGACAGAACAAGACATCCAGCGATATCATTAATAAAATATTCCAAGTTCAAGGTGCTGGGATTGGAATAGGCCGTTTAAGCTAACCAAGAGAAAAGTCCAAATAAAAAGGAGAAACAGTCATCTGCTCTTTCTGCGCCAAGTTTCCCTGCCGATAACAACAGTAATCATTCCAGGAATTGCAATCCTCCTCAAGAAGTGATTACTCCCTAATGACAGACGACTTCCTATCTGTGAAGGCCAGTGCCCCTCATTAACCACAAAGGAATGCTGGGAATCTTCCGCTCAGAGCGATGCTGCTCCAGCAGCACATTCCTGTCCAGCTTCAATCTGACCCGCAAAAGGAGCTTCTATCAACTGTTTACAAACAGACGCCCACGCAATTCAGGTGTCTTTATTCTTAGCGCAGACTTCTTGCAGTTATATCAAAACCATACTGATGGACAGAAATCAATAACATACAGGAGTAACATATCCCATCATCTTTGGCAAAAATTCCCCCCTTATTGCCGCTGCTGCTTATTTTTACCAGCATAATAACAGGTTGTCAGAGCAAAGCGGCCCGCCTGAGGAGACGTGAGTTGACTTTGTTCCCTTCCTGAAGGCATTCGCTGCATGCGGTTTCCTAACCTGTCAGTCCGCAATCCTTTCAAGCTGCCATGAGTCATACTGACTCGGAGATGGGCCACCTTGGATTCCTGCGGAGCTCACGCCAAAAAAAATAAAGTTCGAAAAAAAAAATTTACACGGAGCACAATAAGAACTGAAAGCTCACACAAAGGTCATTGAGGACTGTGATGAGTTTGGAAATCTTAAGGGAGGGGTGCTGGTTAAACGCTGACAAATCGCTGCATCCTTTGTATTAATAACATTGGAAACCCAGATATTTTTGGTCACTTGTACAGCT